GTTTAAAGGAGGTAGAGAGGGGAAGGAATTAAAAAAAAATAAAAATAAAAAAAGCCCAAAGGGACAGATGTGAGGTATCTATAAGATAACCAGCCTGCTCTTAGCAAAGTCAGAGTCATTAAGAAAAAACACAGCGAAAACTTCTAGATTCTTACTAGACAGAACTGTCACTAATGAACGTCAACTCAATTGTGGTTTTAAACAAAACTATAAAAACCACACTGGAGACAACAGGATAGTTTCAATAGAAGTTTGGTTTGAAATCCTACTGTATCATTTTAAATTGAAGGAGGATGAGAATATTCTCATTCTCAGGTGCACTCAAGTCTTCAGGTGAGATGTCAGGATGTTTGCAACCTAAGATGGCACAGCAAACTACAGATTAGAGAACTATTTATATTCTATAAGGAGACAGAACCGGAATATATGACAAAACATCAACCATTGGAACCTAGGTGGTACCACATGGGTATTCAATGTCCTATTTTCATTCTTCTTTCTTTCTCTGAAAACTTCCCACAAAGAGCTGCATACACACTTAATGCTTCAGGGCCTTTGGTTCACTTAAGACAAGGGAGCCTTCCTCTGCTCTTACTTGTGAAGAGGAAGATAAGGGCCCAAAGGAAAGAAAATGTTTCCATAGCAAGGTTATTTTCACAGTGTTGAGGCCTCATTCCACTGAAGGATATGGAGGAAAAACAGGAGTGATAACCTTAACTTGCTGAGATAGCCAAGCTGGGTTAGGCCAACACCCTCCACCCCCACCCCATACAGTGGGTGGTCACAACTACCATGACTCCAAATATGAGAGAAAGATGCAGCTTTCTCAGCCAACACAACCTGGGGGTGATTTTTTGCAGTTGAGGCCTTACTCCGCTCTACCTCTCTTTTCTGGCTACCTACTTCCCCACATGTGAAACTGGAGGAAAAGGTCCTAGCTCTGGCCAACTCTATCCATCTAAAGTACATGGAAGAGTGGGCCACTCCAGGAAGCTCCCATGACAAGATCATAGCTCTGCCTTTCTCCCTCTATAGATACCACACAGGACAAGGGCAAGGAGAGTCCATTGCCCAGTGTCTGGAACGGTATATGTGATGAATAATACCATCACTATTACATGCCCCTAGTTTAACACCCTAAACCACTCCTCACAAGACATCATTAGTTAAAGTGAGACAATTTGCTCAACGTCTCAGAGCCTGTTACATGGCAAAGGTAAAATATGAACCTAGGGAAGGACCTCCATCCTCTTTGGGGATCACTGTCCACTTGACACAACTTCTGCCCAAGGCCTAGGCTGGCACACATAAACACTTAGGATACAACCAGAGTCCTGTTTCTGCCCTTGACTCCCCACAGAAGCCACAAAGGAGAAGGCTAAAATCCAAGTCAGCTCAGGACTTTCTAAAGGCTTCCACGTGACTCAAAAAAGTCAGCTTCTTATAACCTACTAAGCTCCATCATCCCCTACCACATTCCCCTCATGTAATCACACCCGTCTGAGTCTTACACAAATACTTTCCTGAGAGCTACAAGGTCCACTCTCCAACTTCCTTTGCACGTTTCTAAGAGTCACTTGTCACAAGCCTTTTCAGACCACCCTCATTAAAAGCAAACTCCCCTTCCTATCCCTCCCTGCTTTTAAGCCCTACCTGATCAGGTCTTTATTCATAGCCACATCATGTGTCCGGTCTCTTGCCCTGTCACAGCCCTGCCCAAACAGTTCCAGCCTGCCTGCCTCATGACAACACACGTCAGGGAGCCACCTGAGGCGACTGTGGGGGTGGGGAGTGGGGGGGCGCTCCCTTCAGACATCAGGTCACTTAAATAAGAATCAGCTGATGGGAGAGTAGATGAAATTAAGCAGAGAAGGAACTAAGGAAAAGCAAAAGAAATGAGGGGCTTCAGGAGAGTGGCTACACCTGCTCAGAGAGCCGTGGCAGCCCTCCAGAGGCTGTGGAGATGAGGCTGAGGGACTTTTGGCTTCTCTGGCAGACACCAAGGCTACAGATGACTTAAGCCTGATCCCAAGGACACAGCTCTTTTAAGAGGATAAAAAAAGAATTCCTCCAATCCACTTGAGGTTGCTCTCACAATGGCAGGCACGTGGCTTGCTGATGTGAGTAAAAGGGACACGAACCTCGCTGTGTACCAGGACAGGCTCAACAGTAAAGATGATGAAGCTACTGGAGGTGGGGAGGGGCCATGGGAATCCACTCAATTCTCAAGATATTTAATTGGCAGGTTACATTCTCACCTCCTCCCACCCACCTCAATCAATGCCTGTCACACTCCTAGGACCTCCTGTCATACTCCTAGCAGCCGCGTGGCTGCTGCCTGTAAAGTTTTCCTTTCCCTTCTGGCACCACAAAGAGGCAGTGCAGGCCTTTCTTTGAGGCCCTGTTCATGCTGTGTTGCTAGAGGTCACACAAGACACAGAAGGAGCCTTGAGAAGGAGCATCAAGGCCACTAATGGCAGCCACTTGTAGCATTTACAACATACTTGAGATAAAAGTCAGACTACGCTATGCTGTGGTGGCTGGAGGTGGGGAGGGGAATTCTGGCCAACTTATTGCTTCTGCTCTTTCTTTGGATCCACTTCTCAGCAGTAATGGACACCTGGCCACATATGATGGCGTGTTCACCTGACCCAAACCCAAACCAAACAGATCTTTCCTCTTGGGAACTGTAATCACCAGGCACACAGCCATGCAATCTGAGCCAGACACTGAAATGGAGTCAGAGAAACTGGGCATGGAGAGGGGGAAGAAAGGTGGGGATGCAAGGGACTTCCACTATCTTCCAGGTGGGAGAGCAGAAAAACATCTCTAACAGGATTGCTGAGGTAGGCAGGGAGAGAAAACCACAGATGAGAAGTACAGGCATCAAGAGAATCTCTCCTTTCTTGGGGCCCCTGCACTTCCGGCCTTTGAAGACACCCAACATCTTTATGATAATCCTCCATTCTAATCATGTTCCCACAGATGGATTTTGTTCCCAGTAACTTGAAAGTCTACTACAGATGAGATCTCAGAGTCTGCCTCCTCCTTTCACTCCCCCACAGGTCTCAAACAGGTTCTTCCTGGAAGGCTGATGGCAAAGACCCACGGGAACAAAGCTGCCCGCCCGCTTGTGAACAGCCTATTCTATGAACATGAGGCAGAGCTGGCTTCTCACTAAGACGCCTTTGTAGGGCTTATCAAAATGAAATAAAAAAGAAGGCTTTTGTCCTAATGCATGTCAGGGTCCTGTTGCTGTTCTGGGAATGTGCAGGTGGGTGAGTGCCACCCATGAGGAAAACAAACTTGAAGAGGCACTGGGAGCCCTGGTGGTGTTCTGGGTCCCATGGCCATCTGTTTTTAGGAAAAGATTCCAGGCATGCTGTGTGGGGACACCAAGCAGTATGTGAAATGGGTTTGTCTGGTCCTCAGAAGCACCAAAACATGGTGAGCCAAGCATGAAGAGCAGTCTTGGGTGTGGGACAGATGCAGCCAGGCACCTCACCAGTCTGTGCCCTAGTTGGCCCACTCATCCCAGCACTGTAAATAAAAGGCAATGGTTACGCTTCTCAACCTGTTGAGCAAAAATGGGAAAAACTAGTGAGCTTTTCTCCTCCAGGGTCCTCAGGCTCAGGTGCCGACTGTCGTCCTATCATGACAGCAACTCAAAACATTCAAACCCCTTTCCAGTTTTGTCCAAGACTATTCCCTCCAAAGATGGATTTCAATACCCAACCCCACAGCCTTTTAAAGTTCTAGTCCTTAACTCCTCAGTTTCCTGCCCTCACTTCTACTCAAGGAGCTGGAGAAATAAAAGGACAAGGGAGGGAGGATGTTAGTCGCCTTTTTCCCCCTTCTTAATGTAAGTCATTTCCCTCAAAACAGGAGCCTCCCATGATGGAGAGAGAAGGGCAGGGCTTGTCCCTACGCAGCTTTGGTCAGAACTGCCCAGAAGGAGGAGGAGTAAAGGGAGAGCAGAAGAAACGGAGGAAGGAGGGGGAGGGGGAACAGAGGAAAAGGTGGGAGGGGGAGAAAAAGGGGAAGGAGGGGAGGGAAGGTTATTCATATCAACAACTGTAGCTGCACCAATCGCACCCCCCACCTTCCTGGAGCCATCAGCCCACAGCTATGGAGTTACAGCCAGCTCAGCCCCTTCCCCCACCCTACACAACTCAGGAGGACCTTGTAAGGGCATGGAGTAAAAGATGGACCCAAAGTACGCAGTCTTGATGCTTGAATTTTGGCTGGTGTGTGTGTGGGATGTCTAAAATGCTCTTTGACTTCACTGTATAACCCTCCCCACCCCGCCCCGAGCGCCCAGTTTATCTTTAACCTGAGGATGAGAAAAGGCTCCACTCCTAGGAGAGTTGGGCGCTCGACGGCTCATGCAGCTTCTAGTCGGCCCGGGCCACCTCTGCCACTGAGGCTTGGGTTGGTGAGTGACTCGAAAGTAAGAGGAGGAAAAAGACCGTGCATGTATCTGTTCCCGCCAAGGCCAGGTAGGGCCCCGGTAAGGACTCAGGAAATGAGTCCTTTCCCACCAGGCAGAAGGGAGAATTCCTAGTTCCCCGGAGAAGAGGGCAGCTCTGCAAGTGGCCTCGTAATTAACCTCGCCCTTCTTTCTTATCGCCATTGAAGGGAGCGCCCCAGCAGAGGCAGGGTGTCAATCAGGACACAGAAACCTGCCAAGGCTCTGCCCATTCCTGAGCTTGCGACCTTGGGCAAGCGTCTTGCCTTCGCCAAGCCTCAGTTTCCTCATCTGTGCAGTGGGCATCACGGAAGCATAAGGGGCACAGAACTGTGCCTAGTCGCAGTCTCACTCACCACCACCATCGGGTCAGAGGAGCCGGGTCCGGCAGGCCCCTCCGGACGCGGCCACCGCCCAGGCCTCGGCCTCGGGCCACGCGGGCCTCGCCGCCACCAAGTCCAGAGTCCCCCGGGCCGCTGCGGCCGGCCGCGCACTGCCCCCCACCCCACCACGTCGGGCCCGCCCGACTCACCGGTGTAGTGCACCACGCAGGTCTGGCCGCGCTTCGGGAAGGTGCGCCCTGAGGAGACAGACAGACGGCAGGTAGCGGATGCGCACGGTGGCGGGGTGCGGGAGGCGGCGGCAGGGGAGCCTGCTTACTCACCGTCTCCGGGGGAGATGGTCTCCACCTGCACTCCCATGGCGGCGGGGCGGACGCGGGGCGGGCGGCGCGACTAGCGGCGTGGACCGGAGAGCGGACCTGGCGGCGATTCCGCGGTTCTGCCTTTTGGCCCTCGGCGCGTCGCCTGCGCACGCGCGCGCCCCCGCACGCCCCGCCCTGCGTGCGCGCTCTTCCATCCACGCGGCGCGCACGTCCCGGAAGCCCGGGCCGCCGCGCGGAGGGACCGGAAGCCCGGATGCTCAGGCCCCCGGATGCAGCTGTGTTTGAGGGTGCTGCTCACCGCCTTGCTCTACGCTTCCAGCCTGGCTCGGAGCTCCCTAACCAGGTTTCCGCATCCGAGAAGTGGGAGTGGACAATAAAGGGTACACCAGTTGCTGACTAGGTGATTTGGAGCTGGCTCACACTTGCTGGCACACTTAACTCATCCTATAAAGAGGATGGTTGTGAGTAGACAGTGCCCATGTGGTACGATGTTAGCCTTCCATAAATGGCCTGAAGTTCTGACTTCATCTTTGGGTTGCATGGAGTCCTCCTCTTATTCAAATACATCACTCACTTATCTTGGTAGTTTACAAAGATACTCTGATGGAGCATCTACCATGATGCATTGTGTTAGGTGTTTGGGTTACAGCCAGTGAAGGCTAGAATTAGGAAGTTTGGGACTCTTAGAACATATATGACTTGATACTGTATTTCAGGTTGAACATTCCTCTTTTTGAAATGTGTGTAGGTAATTCACAGCCTAGCTCAGGGACAACTCAAAGCATTCCCACCTGGCCCAGGGATCACCCATGCCCCTCCCCACTCATCGATTATTGGTGGTTAGGAATCACCAGGTTGTTTCTTTCCCATAGTTTAGGGTAAATTTTAAAAGCACCTGGAAAGAGAGAGACTTTCACTGTCTGCTACCAGCTTTCACCTGGTCCCACCATGTCCCCTTTTGTAATTCCCCTTCCTAACTTTAAACTCCATTACACCCACCTGGCCTGCCTTGGATTCTTCCCTGTGGGACAAAAAGAATTTGGAAATCTGATCAGACACTGCATCACTGCTGTTAACAAAGGTATCCCGCCTCACAGAATTTACAGAAGAAACAATCAAGGGAGCTGGGTGTGGTGGTGCATGCCTCTAATCCCAGCACTCAGGAGGATGGCTGCAAGTTCAAGGGCAGCCTGGTCTACACAGTGAATTCTAGGTCAGCCTGGGCTACATAGCAAGATCTTGTTTCAAAATACACACAAAGTAACAACCACACAGATTAAAGTTTCAATTCTGCAAGTACAGTGACAGAATGATACATGGTATCATGCTATGAAAGATGTATAACCAGAAGCCCCACAACCTGGAGTGTGGCAAAGTCCCTGAGTTAGTCAGGTTTAGCCACAGTGTGAAACACTGACCAGCTGTGCAAGTGCATGTTGGATGGGGAGGGCAGAGGGAGTACATGCAGAGACACTGTGACTAGAGAGAGTATTGGGACACACTCTAGGACCTAGGGAGGCAGATATGGACTAATCCTTGTCTGGTATCCCTGAACATGCTCCTGTAGTGTTTAAACATGACCTCAAAGTTCTCTGAAGAGCTTCCCATCCTCTACATCTGCTTTCTTATAATGTCAGCGAGCTGGTAACTGATTTGTCAATTTGTACACTACTTAGGATACAAATTAACAGTTGCAGAAATTAGAAGTCACTGTCTTTCTCAGGTAACACTCCAGAGGCAGATGGCTCAGTGCAGGTGGGAATTCACAGGCTGTCCAGGGACCCATGCTTCTCTATCCATAGAATTTTACCTTCATATGCATGGTCCAAAATGGTTCTCCAACATGTTTCATTCCAACAGTGGGAAGAGGGAAAAGAGGAATGTGAGGGAATATCCCCTTGTCTTTAAGGGCATGACCTAGAAGTTGCACGTATCTCTTCCTCTTACACCTCATTGATGACAGCTTAGTTGTGTGACCAAGTTTAGCTGCATGGGAGGCTGGGAAATACAGTTTTCATTCTAGGTTAATATATGCCCAATTAAAAAACCAGGGGTTCTGTGTCTATAGAAAGGAAGAATGGGCCAGGTGCTGGTGGCTCACGTCTGTAATCCTAGCTACTCAGGAGGATCGTGGTTCAAAGCCAGCCTGGGCAAATAGTTCCTGAGACTTTATCCTGAAACACCCTTCACAAAAAAAAAAAAAATAAATAAGTAAAGTGGCTCAAGATGTAGGCCCTGAGTTCAAGCCCCGTACTGGGAAAAAAAATAGGAAGAATAGATATTGAGAGACAAAATTTAAAAGAGAGAACACTCCCCTCCAACATCTAGAGAAAATCAGACTGCAGAGAGGATAAATGATGAAGCAAGAGCAACCAGGAGGTAAGACAGTTCCTGGGATCATTTTTTCTGAAGCCTAGCAGGAGGAGGCTTGCTTCACTTTCATCTACAATCTCATAGCTCTGGATTGGGCATCTGTTCAAAACAGTCCTGCCTTTGTGGCAGAAGCCATCCCAGTCCATAGATATAAGACTTTGTTTACCCTTCCTGGGAGGATTCCCCAAAAACCTGTTTCCACCATCCCTTTCTCACTGCTTTGGGGAAAGGAAGGAAAGCATGTGGTGATTATTTCAGTGATCAGTGGCAATGTGCAGCACAAGCCTGGGATGAGTTGGACTTCAGGACTGATGTGTGCTGTGCATCACAAGGGACATTTATTTATTATGCACTTGTAAGATTTTTTTGTTTTCTTTTTCATTTTGGTAATGGAAATTGAACCTAGGGCCTTGTGTCTGCTAAGCACATGCTGTACCCCCAGGCCCAAGGAAGTTTTTTTTTTTTTTTTCAGTTCTAGCATTTTCATTTTGTTCATTTTAATATATTTTATTTATTTGGTTAAACTTTTTATCTTTCCATTTGTTTCTAGATGATTTGTCCTTATTTTTCCTTATTCTTTATTCTTTTACCTTATTTTTATTTTTGCAGTGCTGGGATTGAACCCAGGGCCTTATGCATGCTAGGCAAGTGTCCTGCCATTGGCTACATCCCTGGTTTTTGTCCTTATTTTTTGAAACATTTTTATAATAGCTGCTACAATGTTTTTGAAACATTTTTATAATACCTGCTACAAAGATAATTGCAATGGTTATATCATTTCAGTATTGACATCTGTTGATTGTCTTTTTCCATGTGAGTTGAGATTTTTCATGTTTCTTCATATATCAAGCAATTTGGATTTATTCCAGAATAATTTTGGATTATGTCCTAGCCACTTTGAATATCATGTAATAATATCCAGAATCATTTAAAAACTCCTATGGAGAATTTTGGTATTTTTGTGTTAGCAGGCAATCAACCAGGTTGTCTCAGGCCATCTAGTCTCTCAGTATTAGGCTCCTGCAGTTGCAGACCTTCACTACCACTGCCTCCCAAAGATTTCCTGGGAACTGAAAAGTGAATGGAAAATAAGAAGCACAACCACCACCAGAGTTTTCATCCATTCTGGGAAATAGGAGACCTTATTCTGAACCAGACACAGCAGGCATATTCTGGTGCTGTCTCTGTCTGTCCTGGTCTGCACTTCCAGGTCTCAAGCCAGATTAAGTCCAGGCTGGAAAAAACTGAAGGAGAAAAACGATGATAAACTCACTGTTGACTTGTTCATACTTCAAACTTTGGTTTTATTCCCCACATCTCTCTGCTTCTTACCATATTACAGAGTTCTTTAATAGCTACTGCCTGCATTTTGTCCAGGTTTTATAGCTTCATTCATGGGGCAAAAAGGGTGCAGTGTGCTTACTCCATCCCATCTGAGCCAGACCCTGTCCCCTACGGGTTTAATTTTTTCTTTTTTTTTGAGACAGTATCTTACTGTGTTGCTCAGGTGTCCTAGAATTTGCTATGTAGCCTAGGCTGGTCTTAAACTCACAATCCTCCTTCCCTTGCCCTCCTGAGTGCTAGGGTTATAGATATGTGCCACTATGCCTAGCTGCATTCTATGTTTTAAAATGGAAGCAAAATGTGGTATACAGTACAGCATGGACAGATCTTTATTGGGCATTATGCTAAATGAACTAAAACAGTCACAAAAAGATCAATACTTGGCCAGACACTGGTGGCTCATGCCTGCAGTCCTAGCTATTCTGGAGGCACAGGTTAGGAGGACTGAAGTTTGAATCCAGCCCGGGCAAATAGTTTGTGAGACCCTATCTTAAAAATACGCAACAAAGAAAAGGGCTGGCAGAATGGCTCGAGTGGTAGAGTGCCAGCCTAGCAAGTGTGAAGCCCTAAGTTTAAACCCCAGTATTGCAAGAAAAAAAAGGTAAATACTATGTGATTCTACTTCATGAGCTAGAGTAGTCAAAATTATACAGAGCATATGCATAAAAATAGACCAGGCATGATGGTACACACCTGTAATCCCAGAACTCAGGAGACTGAGGCAGGTGGATGGTAAGTTTGCTGCCAGCCTGAGCTATACAGTGAGACCCTGCCTTAAAAAAAAATGATGGTTGCCAAGGGCCAGGGGAGTTATTGTTTAATGGGGAAAGACAGGATGAAAAGAGTTTTTTAGAGAGCTCAGTGCCAGTGGCTCACACCTATAATCCTAGCTACTTGGGAGGCTATCAGCAGAGTCATAGTTCAAGGCCAGTGCAGGCAAATAGTGCACAAGATCTCATCGCTAAAGTAACCAGAGAAAAATGAACTGGAGGTGTGGTTCAAGTGGGTAGAGTGCCTGTTTTGCAAGCTCAAAGCCCTAGGTTCAAATTCTAAGCCCACCAAAAAAAAAAAAAAGAATTCTAGAGATGAATGGTGGTGATGGTTGCACAACAATGTGGATGTACTTAATACTTCTAAAGTGTGCAGTATTAAATGGTTAAGAAAGTAAACTATATTTATGTGTATTTCACCACTATAAAAAGGGGGAGTGGATTCAGATACGAAAACACCCATCTAAGAAAATAAGGTGTCACTTTCCCCATCTCAACAGGAGAAATCATATCCATAGTCTCCAAGAAGCCATCATGTAGAACTAGCCGCACTGTTTCTTGGTTGCAGGTTTAGTCAGGGCAGTGCTGGGCAAAGCTTCGGTAACACAGAAACATGTAGGAACCAGGTGGGTGGTCACCTCCAGTAGCTCAGCCCAGTTACTGGCCAAGGGCTCGAACTCTAGGCTATCCTCTCCTGTGGCAACTGAGTCAGCCTGTTGCTTCTGCCATGA